TTTGTCCATTGCTCTGAGGTCACTTATAAATTAAACCTGTAATCTGATCTGTATTAATGTACCTTTCTGTCTACATGGAGTCAATGAAGCTCTACATTTGCAAGCCCACAGGGAACAGACTCAACATTAAAAAAGAGGAAAAATTCTATTTTTCAACTCCTGCCGGCAAAAAAAATCTCTTTGGAAACAATATATTAAAAAAAAAAAAACAAAACAAAAAAAAAAAACAACCCAAAACATGACCTATGTTAGAGTCTTTGTGGCCTTGCTTCAGCAGGAGGGTTGGTCCACTTGATTTTCAGAGTTTCCTTCCAACTTCAATCATTCTGTGATTCTGTGAGTCCTAGTTTTGAGTTATACATAAATGATGAAAAACTGTTCCCTTGCAGAACAAAGGCTAGAAACTTTTACAAATATTTTTAAAACTGGTGGATTTTGAAAAGAAACCAGAATTGAAAGCATTCAATACTCAATACAACAGCCCTCAGACAAAAAGCAAAATGGAAATAAAATATTTATATGTCCAGCCCTATCTTGCCTTCTGCAGAGAGACTCAGATAAAAAAATCTGTTTGCAAACTTAACATAAAGAAACAGGAAGGGTTATAGGTGGGAGATGTTCAGAAAAGCTGGCTGATTTCCTGCTGAAAAGATGAAAAGAAGCTGCAACTAATTCCCCAAAATGCTATTATGTAAATTGAGATTCCCTGTTTTCTGAGATGACTCAAGACAACCTCTGAGTATGAACAAGATAATGAAATCAAGCTCCATGTGGCTTCAAGTCAGACAGGACAGTACACCAAACAGTATCATGTCTAACAGAATGCGATGCATACTACATGCCTTTATGTCTGGGTCTGGCTTTTCTGGTCAGGCTCGTCAATGTAAACAGAGAAACTGAAATTCTGATTTCAGTTACATTCTGGCACATGGATATTTAAAACTGTTCTTTTTTTTTTTTTTTTTAATACCCAGATTTCAGTGCAACCTGAGTTTCATTTTACGGAAACTAATTTCATCCATCACACTCTATCTTTTTTGCTATGGAAATTAAGTTTAGTAACAAAAGCTTAAACAAGGATGTTAAGGAAAACTGCATCAAAAGACTTTCTCTTAAAGTCAAGACAAATAAAATCACTGCTTTTCCTTCATCTACTAAATCTGCCATCTCATCAGACAATTATCAGGTTGATCAGGCATGATTTCCCCTTTCACACATGCTGACCACTCCCAATCACCTTTTTGCCCTTACTATGTTTCAAAATAGCCTCCAGAAGGACTTACTCCATCACTTTCCCAGGGACTAACATAAATTTGACACCTTGTAGTTCCCCAGATCCTCCTTCTTGTCCTTAAAGGTAGAAGCGACACTTGTTTCCTCAGGAAAGAAAGAACTTCAGGAGCCTCTCCCAGTGTCTATGACCTCTCAATGATAATCAAGGATGGCCTGGCAATGACATCCACCAGTCCCCTCAATACTCCTGGATGCATACCATCAGGTCACAAGAACTTGTGCATGTCCACTTTGTTTAAATGTTCTCTAACTCAATCTTTTTCACTGAGTAGAAGTCATCCTTGCTCCAGAATTTCCCTCTGATTCAGAAGCCAGTGATTGTTGAGGGGTGGCCTTACAATAAGGACTGAGGTAAAGAAGGCAGTGAATACCTCAGACTTTTCCATATTTTCCTTAGGCTTTCTTTTGCTTCTGATGTCCCTGTAGAAGCTCTTCTTGTTCATATCCTTCACCAGGTTTAACTCCAAATGAGCTTTGGCTTTTCTAACCATGTTTCTGCATGCTTGGATGGTGTTTCTATATTCCTTCCAGGTTATCTGTCCTTGCTTTCACCTCTTGTTCAGTTCTCTTTTGAATTAAGATTTTAATCAGGTATCTTCATTACTTGGAGATAGAGGTACCCGTCTTGATTCTTCACTATATAAATGTATGTAAAAAGGACAATGCATTCTCACAATATTTAAACCATCTCTTGAAAGAAAGATTTGGTATATATATAATTTTAAATGCAAGAATGAGTATATATTACATCCTTCTTAAAAGTTTTATTCAATTTATTTGTTTATTCTTCTGAGTTCTTTTAATAAACTACTGCTTACTTACTCTTGATTTATTCAGAGCTCACAGAATAGCTAACAGAAATCTCAAAATTACTCTTGACATCTTCATATCAAAATGGATGGTTGCCAACACAGTAATAGAGTTGAGTATTTCTCTTCACAAATATGCTGTCAGCGAAACTAATGAAAATGTTGATAATAAGTGCCCTCACTAATCTTTAAAATTACTTTAGGGAAGACACACTTTCTTAAATAATCTAAAGAAGAAAAAGTTTAGTATGAGAAAACTCATACTGACTCTTTAAATTGAACTGATTAGAACCCTAACTGAAAGAGATGAAAATATAGGTTTGAGGCCCATGGAGGTATCCTACATCTTTGGTTCTTCCCTGCCATTTCTTGGTGTTTTACAGTGAGAGCTGAACTGAGTATATTCTAGGGAAAAATAGTTAATAAACAAAATGAAGTAGTGGATTAATTTATCAAGAGAAAAGCAGACCTCAATACAGTCTGTAAGGTTTCTACAGAGGCATCTTGTATGATCAACATAGGAAGGTGCTATACAGTTCCCTTTTATGCCTGCTTCTGCCATCACTGCAAATATCAACATACGTACCAAAGAGGCAGACAAAGCACAGCTGAAAATTATATTAAATCATATATGTGATGCTAGAGAAGTGTACAACAGTACAAAAATAGAGTATATGTAGGAAAAAATAGGATATATGCAATAGAAAAAAATCCTATATTTCACACATACTTTCCACCCACGGGGTTACTCATAGAAAGATTCCTTCATCCTGCTTGTCACTATAGTGACAAGGACAGCCCAAGAGCCTACTTGGGACAGAAGTGATGTACTGCCTAGCCCACAACTTCAGGCAGTGGGATACTATCAGATAAAAGCATTAGCTCAAAAAAACTGTGATTGAAGACACCCTCTATATCCTAGAGGTAACCAAAGATGGATTGTTTTCAAGGGAGGCCTGAGTGGCTATATTTTAGGTAATAATGAGCAGACTTGTCTATGCATTTTAATTCTAGACTTTGATACTTCCAAATTCTTTCACAAATATCATCACAATGGAAAAATTCATCAGTTTGAAGCAGGTTTACCTAAGGCAAATATAATGAATCGATGTTTTATGATTTATATAATTTTCAAAAAGCAAATGTTAAAAGCATCCATTCCAGTATATGAAACATGATTTTAATTTTCAGAATGTTTGTGTGCATCAGCAAACTGAGACAAAGGTTTAACAAAAACAGAAAGATGGACAACCTTGCACAAAGATCTATTCTAAAAATCTGAAACCCAAAGGGCTTACTGATTTGAGTTATAGATGGAAGTGGGAAGAAGATGCACAGAACAATACACATACAACTTAAGGACTGTCAGAATGTCCCAGGTTGCTCTCAGTGTATGCAGAACTTAATGAATGGGTAATTACCCAGGCATTTCTGAAGTTAGTTACTGACAGGACTAGACAGATCATAAGGACTTAGGCACTTAGCTATGGAATAAGCAGGAAGTGTGGGCCTCTAGATCTAAATTTGTGTTTGAAAGTAGTACACACAAGCCACATATTCACCTGCAAAACAGGGAAAACAAGCCTCTCCCATTTTATAGGGGTGCTCTAAGGAAGAGTACATAGAGAGGCTCTTGTGTTGTGTTAACAACTGACAGGCTAGCAAGACATAAGAATATATTTGTCAATGTATGAGATAATCCCACAATGGAAAATGAATATCCTTAAGACTGGCACAGAGATGCGTTAAAGAAACACTTATTTTTTCAGCATTTGCAAAACATCACTACACAAGACGCAGTGACAAATGGTAACCCCAAACCCAGCACTAATATATCCCAAAAGCATTAAACCAGAACACTTGGAAATAAAATAAATATGAAATTAGCATTTTCAAGATTATTTCTTTCTGCAACATCTCACAGTATTTCATGAACATCTAGCATGACAAAACAAACAGGATTCGAGTGCTGTTAAATATTCTTCCTATAAACTAGCCTAAGGCAATTTCTCTGCCTGTGCTAACAATTGTGCTAATGATACAGTAACAGCTTCAGAATAATCCCCTTCACCCTCGAAACACAAACAGTCTTGCATAAACAGAAGAGAAAGGATCTCAAAGTTCTTCCTTTGCCAGCTGTAGACAAGAAACAACACACTGCACGCAATTGTCTTGTGCATAGCGGACACATTCTGTCACTGATAACAGCAACACTTAAGAACAGCAGCAGGACAAGCAGTACACCTTGCCATAATCCAAACCTTTCCATTAGCTAATACACATCAAAAATCAAATTAAGGCTACTGATGACCTAAATTCAATACAATATACATCTATTTAAATTAATTAGTGCGATCCAATAATGAGATTCTTCAATAGGTGGAACAAAAGCTGGTTGAAATAATCAAGTTGCATTTATTGACCTTAGCTCTAATAGCAAAGACAGAATTGTCAGAGATCGTGCATTCTGCAGGACATAAATATAGCACGCTGCAATCATATTTCCACTGACTTTACCATGACATTATCTGCCTACTCACCGAGTCACTACTTTTTAACTAGACAGGTAAAGAAATCTCACTGGCAAATATTTAATTATTTATACAACCCATAGAAAACAATACAAAAATAAAATGTAAATTTTCAGCTTTTTAAAGAACGTATTCTTCTGTTCCTCTTACTGTAAAAAACAGTAGTTACATATTTCTCCTCAGTTTCTTCTCCCTCGAACTAGCTTTATGACAGAATAATTTCACAGTTCTTTAATTACTTCTAATACAAAGAAGCTGCATCTATGTAATAAAATAATTTTGAGTTACTCTTATTGCTTGAAAATAATTCAGAGTATTTTTAAGGCAATATGTGGCATAGGACAGTTTTTTAGGAGACTTCAGTTACCTGGGTAATACCTAGCGAGGCCAGTTGCACTACCAAAAACCTGCCATAATAAAGTGGGGTCTTCTTCTCTGTTCCGCTTGAATACATCATCCAACGCTGCAGTCCAGTTGAGTTCATTTAACACTATCGTTGCTGTCAAAGACAAAACACACTTGGTATTACAAAGTTAGATCCTAACAGAAGCTGCAATGACTACAAAAAAGCAAACTGAACTATTACAGAAAGTAAAACCATTTTATTTAACTAAGTCATAAAGAAAATTTTCATTGGGAATTTTGTTTAAGTTCCTCATGTGCTCTTCTTTCTGTTGCATTATCTGTATGCAATAACTGTTGGCTTATTTGCAGAGCCATTATCTTCTACAAATACGTTGTTTCTGAGATGTTAGTCTAGTTGCGCTTCCCACTTACAGAAAATTAAATGTAAGCATACAGCATTGATGTTTACTAATTACAACATTCTGCAATAATAACTACAATGACATCACCAAAAGCAGGTATGTACGCCTTATAAAGGTAACAAAGGTGTCCCTTTCCAAATGGATGCTGTAAGAGGATTATATGGGAAAAGACAATAATAACTTATTTGAATTGCAATATTAACGTGGGACTGCATGCACAATAGTACTCATTATAGCACACTAACAAGATCTTAATGTTCATATATGAGATTACTTAGAGAACAATCAGCAATGTGAACATTAATATATATAAGTTGGGTCAGTTCCACAATGAACTTGAAATATAAGGAAATTCACATTTCAGCTAAACACTGTGTGGCCAGTTATACAGAAACTTACATTCACAAAGTTGTCCCCTACCTATGTTTTAATCAATCAAATATATTATGTAATCAATCGATCAAACATATATTAACATGCTCGATGTATTTTGAAAAAAACATAACTTGATGAAAACTGCTACAGTAATAGTCACTTGACTATAATCAGTAGTCAATGAAATTGTATCCTGACACAGAATACCTTCTGCAACTCATGACAAATCATGCTTTTCACACCTCATTTCATCAGCTGCAAATATCTCATTAATTCCTCCCTCCCCCACCAAAAAAAAATAAATCTTAATAGCTATTAAGCAATAGCAAGTATTCATTTAATTAGATAAATCAAGGGCTTTTTTGCTGGTTCGGTCACCAATTCTTGCTTTTGTGTTTCCTAATGGCATTTTAAGGAATGTTTCTAAAACCAAAACACCTAGATTTGCAATCCAAGGGAAGCAGAGGGCAACAATGTTTGAAAACAGCTAAAGATGTAGATAAAAATCCAAGGGAAGCTAACACTGTAATACAGATCCTGCTTACACTATGGTATTGCACACAGGAAAGAAAATTCAACTTCTCTTGCAAATAAGCAAGTCAAGCTGAAATAAAAACAGTTCACGTTTAAGGCTCCTGAGTGGCACTCCAGTACAAAATTTGGTATCTACATCTACATTCTAGCCCTCTCCTATAATGAAAAAAAGAAACAATAAAAATAAGGGCAGGCTGAAAGCTGACATTTGACAGGCCATTTCCAAAGTGAGACTGTTAACAGGTACTAGAGAAACAAGATCACAACATTAAATTTTATAGGCTTTTTTTTAAAGGTTAAGGAGAAAATTGCTACACCATGTGTTTTGCAGAAAGGTTTGTCTGTGTTTTTCAAAGTAGTTTGGAGATAATATTGCTCTCTCAAGATATAACTTTCTATAGAAATGTCAAATTAAATTTCCAACCCCTGAGCTGTCATTTAAGCAATAAGCTTGCGCTATATACCTGCCTCTTTGTCAAGTAAATAATTATAAATATATTTAAGTTTACTTAAGACAGAGGAATAATTCCCTAAGTCACAAAAGGAAGCCAAATAGCATTTTAAAATGGTTACTCCTGTTTGACTTACTGTGTGGTTAAGCATTATGGACAGGATTACTAGACTTGATTTAGCATTAGATCTCATCTCCTGAAGCGGCTCCATGAAGTCACTAGAAGCTCTGTCATTTACTCAAGCAAGAATTTCCTTTCAGCTTGATTTCTGAGCTTTTTCGTTTTACTGTTTCCCCACCATTCTTGGGCCAGTGGAAGCCTATGTTGGCATTTAGAGCACTGGAGCTTAGGACAATTACTTCAGGCACATGGGAGACAAAGCTTACAGGTTTCAGGGTCCTCTATGTATTCCAAAGCCCCACAACAATATAAATCAATGCATTTCTTTTTGGCCTTGCAGCCTGACTTAAAATTGCTGTGGTCTCTACCTCCAAGACTTTACCACCCTGGTAAATCAGACCTCTGATTCACTTATTCAGCAAAACATTTAATCAGGAAAAAAAACTATTTTGAAGTTAATCATAGAATCATAGAATAGTTAGGGTTGGAAAGGACCTTAAGATCATCTAGTTCCAACCCCCCTGCCATGGGCAGGGACACCTTGCGCTAAATCATATCACCCAAGGCCTCGTCCAACCTGGCCTTGAACACTGCCAGGGATGGAGCATTCACAATCTCCCTGGGCAACCTATTCCAGTGCCTCACCACCCTGACAGGAAAGAATTTCCTTCTTATATCCAACCTAAACTTCCCCTCTTTAAGTTTTAACCCATTACCCCTTGTCCTGTCACTACAGTCCCTAATGAAGAGTCCCTCTCCAGCATCGCTGTAGGCCCCCTTCAGATACTGGAAGGTTGCTATGAGGTCTCCACACAGCCTTCTCTTCTCCAGGCTAAACAGCTCCAACTTCCTCAGCCTGTCTTCATACAGGAGGTGCTCCAGTCCCCTGATCATCCTCGTGGCCCTCTTCTGGACTTGTTCCAAGAGTTCCATGTCCTTTTTATGTTGAGAACACCAGAATTGCACACGATACTCCAAGTGAGGTCTCACAAGAGCAGAGTAGAAGGGCAGGATCACCTCCTGCGACCTGCTGGTCACACTCCTTTTGATGCAGCCCAGGATATGGTTGGCTTTCTGGGCTGCAAGCGCACACTGAAGCCGGCTCATGTTCATTTTCTCATCGACCAGTACCCCCAAGTCCTTCTCCACAGGGCTGCTCTGAATCTCTTCTCTGCCCAACCTGTAGCTGTGCCTGGGATTGCTGCCACCCAGGTGTAGGACCTTGCATTTGGCATGGTTAAACTTCATGAGGTTGGCATCAGCCCACCTCACAAGTGTGTCAAGGTCCCTCTGGATGGCATTCCTTCCCTCCAGCGTATCAACCGAACCACACAGCTTGGTGTCATTGGCAAACTTGCTGAGGGCGCACTCAATCCCACTGTCCATGTCAGCGACGAAGATGTTGAACAAGACCGGTCCCAACACCGATCCCTGAGGGACACCACTCGTTACTGGCCTCCAGAAGGGCATTGAGCCATTGACCACAACTCTTTGTGTGTGGCCATCCAGCCAGTTCTTTATCCACCAAGTGGTCCATCTATCAAATTGATGTCGCTCCAATTTAGAGACAAGGATGTCGTGTGGGACAGTGTCGAATGCTTTGCACAAGTCCAGGTAGATGACATCAACTGCTCTACCCCTGTCCATCAGTTCTGTGGCCCCATCATGGAAGGCCACCAAATTGGTCAGGCAGGATATCCCCTTAGTGAAGCCATGCTGGCTGTCACCAAGCACCTTGTTGATTTTCATGTGCCTTAGCATGCCTTCCAGGAGAATCTGCTCTAAGATTTTGCCAGGCACAGAGCTGAGACTGATTGGTCTGTAATTCTCCGGGTCATCCATTTTCCCCTTCTTGAAAATGGGGGTTATATTTCCCTTTTTCCAGTCATCAGGAACTTCACCTGACTGCCATGATTTCTCAAATATGATGGCCAGTGGCTTCGCAACTTCATTCACCAGCTCCTTCAGGACCCATGGATGGATCATGCTCATAAGTCCCCTGCTCCCAGAGGGATGTGGAGGAGAATCAAAAGAATGCAACTCCCACAGGTTGAGATAAGAACAGTTTAGGAACTAAGGTATAACACAAATCACTACTGCTACCACCAATAATAATAATGATAAAGGAAATAACAAGGGAAGAGAATACAACACCTCACCACCTGCCGACCGATAACTCACCCTACCCTGCCTGACTGACCCCGACCGATACCTAGTCCAACCCCACAGTGTACTGGCCCTTTTGGGTAACTCTCAGTTACATCCCAGGCATGACGTGCTGTGGTATGGAATACTTCTTTGGTCAGTTTGGGCCAGGTGTCCTGTCTCTGCTTCCTCCCAGCTTCCCTCCTCGCTAGGAGTGCATGAGGCTCAGAAAGTCCTTGGCCAGACTAAACATTTAGTGTTACCAGCTCTGTTCCCAGGTCAAAAGTCAAAAACACAGAGCTGCACCAGCTACTAAGAAGGAGAAAAAAATGACTGCTACTGCTGAACCCAGGATAATAAGTACTTTTTTAAACTAGTGACTACGCTCCCCATGATTTCATATGTAACCCTGTATTTCTAAATATAGGATTTCCTTCAGACCGTAACCTTAAAGAAGGAAAAAAAAACCCAACATACTAATTAAACATATATTAAACATCTTACTATGTATTTTCAAATACTGTTGCAAAGAGTGTCTGCATAACACCAGCAAAAAATGCAGTTACATGTATTCATGAGCCTAGGTTTACACACAGCTCTGAACATGCAGTCATTCACTGGAATTGGTTGCCCAGGGAAGCTGTGAATGCTCCATCCCTGGCAGAGTTCAAGGCCCATTTGGACAGAGCCTTGGGTGACATGGTTTAGTGTGAGGTGTCCCTGCCCATGGCAGGAAGGCTGGAAGTAGATGATCTTAAGGTCCTTTCCAACCCTAACTACCCTATGATTCTCTCTCTATATATATAAACTATATGGACATAAAACCAGATGTATAAACCAAAAAGGAATAACCAAGGAGACAACCTACATATAGTAAAATAACTAAGTCCTGAAGTACTGAGTGGAGATATTGGAACTGATAATTTCAGCATTTTATTAGACTTGCTGAGATTAGGCTATAAAGCAAGAGATATAGCTTACTGGATCTTATTTGTAATGTTTGTGGAGAAGCGATGCTTTATAGTTCGAGTCAGAGTTTTATGATCTTATTTACATCCCACTTTCCCCACCTCCTCCTCTAATTTTCTCCCAGAGACAAATATAAC